GCGAAATTCTCTCAAAACTCTCCAAAAGGGTTTGCTTACTGTCAGGTCAAGGTCCGTTGAGCAGCAAAGTTTAACAGAGCAAAGCTCCTATTTAAGGTTTTTTTTTTCCTCAGCAAGATGATGACATCACAAAGGATCAAAGGCATTCTACTTTGGATCAAAGGCATTCTAGTTTTGATCAATGTCATTCTATTTTTTCCAGTTGAAACACTGAAAAAAAATAGTGTTTCAACAGTGCAGGTTGGCGCCCTGTGGGAGGCAGAGGTGATAGGGTAAGGATGCAGAGGATAATATCCAAGAAAAGATTTACTTATCTGTCAGCTCATCAGCGAGCAGCTGCAGAATCACAGGTGCAGCTTGGCAGAGGATGGACTCAAGGTGAAGAAACAAAATCAATAATGACTTAAGGCAAAGTTACAGTCTCAATGTTATTCTTTATTTTTTCTCAGTGTCTTCTTGAGGGACATTATGTGTATATGTGTACGTGATATTAAAATGACATTAACGCCATAACGTCATACGTTCAATATCGATACGAGTATTGTTGCACTCCTAATATATATATATAACATGACCAGGCCCACGTCATATCAAATTCAGCTCTATGTGGCTCTAAAGAAGTCACAACTTTAACAAAAACACACGTTGTGCGTGTATAGCATCTGTATGTGTGTCAAAGAAGTACCTGTGTGTCAAAGAAGTACCTGTGTTTACACTGTGCCACTAACGTGTGAAATAACTACCACCAAATGGTGTATTACACATGTCTGTCTAGACACATAAATACATAGAGCACATACAGAGTAAACAGGGTTAACATTTGTAACATGGAGGCAAAACAGCGTAGCCGTCAGTTACATTTTTCGTTATTTGTTCCTGTAAACTTCAATGATTGTGCCCATATATTTATTTATTTATTTTTGCCTGTGTTTCCTATTAGGAGAAATGTGTCCTAATATTTATTTATTACTCTTCTCTTGGCACTTGGGTGTCAAACTTTTGTGTCTCCTCACTGCAGGGACAGAATGAGCTGCTGGTCATGATAGCATTAGTGTGTTATGCTTTTTTAGTTTTTTTTTAAAACTAGCTTGCTTATATATTTACAAGTAAAAATAAAAGTAAAGCCAGTAAACACTTTTTTACTTTGCCTCAATTCTGTTCTCAGCATTGGATCAGTTTTTTACTGTATCTTTACAGTATGCAACCAACAAAGCTCACACTGAAAAACACATGACGAAACCCCCAAATCAAACGAGATGACAGCGTATTTTCATTTTTTTTGTTTTAAATGTATATTTGAGTTATGTACCTTTGTTTCTGTTGTTTTAATTGTTTCATTATAACTAACTCAAGGTCATAAGCAGCCTAAGCTGTGCATTGAAACACTATGCGTGCACTATGAAACATGGCACGCTCCTTAACCTCACACCCAGGTGTTCCCCCTTTCTGCTCCAGGTCAAACTTGGCACTGGGCGGTCAACACATTTTCTTGTCTTTCCTGAGTCTATCCCGGTACACAGCGATACTCATCATGTTATGCCGCCTCCTTCATACTTCTGTTTATGCCTTCCACCTTCATAACATCGGTGCCCTTTTTGTAAGGACGTTCTCACTCTGTGAGACACATGCAAAGCTGGGACATTTGGATAAAGGCATGTCCAGGTACTGTGCTTCTTTTCTTTACATAGTCTAAGTCAGCCTTGAGCTTGTATTTTGTGATTACTAGTCTATTTATATATGTAACAGAAATCATCATGCATAGAAGTAACATGCTTTGCAGCTTGAGGTTATTTTTAGCAAAGTAAGGGGATTAAAATCAGGCCAGGTTTGTCAGGTTGGATTAACATTTGGGAGACTTCTATGCTGGAGTTATTAGAGAAAAAAATTGATCCATGCTAGTACTGACTAGAGATGGACCGATCCGATATTACGTATCGGTATCGGTCCGATACTGACCTAAATGACTGGATCGGATATCGGAGAAAAATAAAAAATGTAATCCGATCCATTAAATATCACGAAAGCACCTCACAAAACTTGCAACACGCCGTAACTCACCGCAGAACGTTAGCAGTTGGAGCAGTGTGCATCACGTGATAGAGCAGCTGTGGCATGCGGGACCTGTCGGTGGTCTGGATAGCATGTGGAGCTTCGCTAGCAACCTGGCATTTCATCTCCGCTAGCATTTCATCTCCGACAAAGTTATCCCCGAGAGAAGTAAAGCAAGCGTGTAAGTCCATCTCTGAATGTTTGTAAAGCATTCCCACGCTAAGCTTAACGAGCGACTGCCTCTCGCTCTCCGGCTGGTACTTCAATCGTGAAACTGCTTAAATGATCAGCTGATCAGCTTTTCTGTCGCGAGTCCGTCTTTGTTTTTGGCCCACTTCGCACCAGAAAGAGCAAACCAGCGGCTGAACAACAGCAGCACGTTTAAGCTTGATAAGCTGTTGTTAGAATTTATTTAATATTACTTTCTACACCAGGATCTTTTTCTACGTAGCTGACGGCTGGTAACTGTGCAGGGGCGGATCTAGCAAAGTTTAGCCAGGGGGGCCGATTGTGCCCCCTTTTCACTGTTCATGCCCTAAGACATACTTTTCTTTCTTATTCTCATTTAAAATGTCGAGCTTTTAATAAATAATTATCTGACACCCAAAGTTTTAATTTGATGCAAAATGAATAGAAGTCAATTACTGTATATAGTGACTATTAAGTCTAATATATATACCCTAGTAAGCTATAGTACTTTTTACTTTGGGAAGGTACCATCTGTGCAGTCTGCAATTTTGTTGAAGAAAGATGTTGAATCTATTTAAAATTTCTTGAAAAATAATTGATTTCTGTGCATTTTTTTTCACACTGCATCAAATTAAGGTTGATTACGTCGATTAAGCATCATGAGGTGGAGCGTGAGGGGTGGTTCCCTATTTTTTATTTATTTATTTTTGTTGTTGCTGGGAGTTGGAACCCTATTAGTTAGGTTGCTTAATATTTATGCTAAGTACTCTTTAAAATACCAGAATAGGGAGGATGGTGTAGGTTTAAGTTTATTAGATTGATCAGTATTGCTGAACTATGAAATATTTTTTTTTGCATACAGGTATAACAGAATAGCTTTAGTGTAGTTGTTGTTTTAAACTTGAGTATGAACTTCAACTTACAAAATGCAGCAAGATATTTAAAAAACAGTTTTGTTGATTAAAAAACACTATATCGGATTCATATCGGTATCGGCAGATATCCAAATTTATGATATCGGTATCGGACATAAAAAAGTGGTATCGTGCCATCTCTAGTACTGACACTGATAGATGTGCAGAATTAAAAACAGCCTTGACATATTCATGAATACAGTACAGTAACTAAAGAAAGTGTAGTAGCCACTCAGAAAAAAGTAGACATTATGCACAGAACTGTGCTCTGAGCATCTTAGTGAAATATCCACTATATTGATTATATATTAATATTGTGGGGTATGAGTGTTTCTTTTGTTTATGTTCTGTTTTTAAGGCAGGTTAAAGGATGGTTTCAGTTGCACAAAGCAGCAGAAGATGTGTGCTGTTGCTTCTCTTTCGTACCCGGTCAATCTTTCCCATCTCTTTCTTCACATTAGCGTTAGCAACCCTGACGGCGCCAAAAACCGTGGCACTTCCTGCTGCTGACATTAACAAATCAATCTTAATCCTGCCTGCTACCATTTCCACTCTTTCAGTGGAAAAATCTTACAGTGTATCACAGTCCTACTCAACCTTCTCTTCTCCTGCACGTACCCCACAAACTTTGTCAAAACTCCCAATCAAGACTGACTCAAATGCCAAGTCCTCTACCTCTGAAACATCAGTTCAACTCATCAACCCAGCACCCCACAGAGATGTTGCAAACTCACCTATAACTTCTAAAAATATCCATCTGTTTGGCAAAGAGGTCTCTCCTAGTCCTTATTCAGGCCATTGTCGCCACACATTTTTCTATCCTGTTCAACCCCTAAAACAAATTTCATGGTTGCCATCTAACCCCTGCAAACATCTGAATTTGTCCCACAAAGCTACAGCACCTTTTTCGCACAAACACTCTCAATCACCTCACACCAAGAGCTGCCTGTATCCTCTTTCTACTGGAAAAGTTCATCTTCAACTTGCGAAAACTTCTAAAACTCAATCTCCTTTGCCGCCAGCCTCACTGTCTCCCCTTTCCAACTCAACCTCACCTCAAAGTGCTTTAAAAAAGCGTCTGGCCCCTCTTCCAGTGTCACCCCTTTCCGCAGCTTTAACCTTCAAAACAACACGGCCTGCCCTTTCTAAAACATCACCCCTCCTTCCCTACAACACCACTTCATCTCCTCCGGAAGCAACAACCCCTCGCCTTGCACCTGCCCATCTTCCCCACACCGTAGGCCCGCTGTTTGAACACCAGCCATTCATTGTTACTTGGAATATCCCTGATCTAGTGTGTAAAAGGTATAACATCTCACTGGACACCTCAGCCTTTAAAGGAGTGGCCACACCTGCCAAGGTAAGAGTGAAAAGATGATGGATAATCAGCAGCTGTTGTGTTTTTATACAACCTTTAGGAGGTTATAAAACTGTCTTAAAAGGCAAACTTATTTATGAGTAGTGGAGATAAGTTTATTGGGTCTTGTTCCTGCTGCAGGTTCCAGGGCAGTTTCTGTCTCTGTTCTACACAGATCGACTGGGTCTTTATCCACACATAGACCTCAAAAGTAGGAAAGAATTCTACGGCGGGATCCCTCAGAGAGCTAACCTGAAAGCCAGCTTGGAAAAGGCCAGAGCAGATATTAACTACTACATCCCATCCATGTAAGTAGGCCAGAGTATACTGTCTTTGCCCCTAGTGACACATTAAATGCTGATATTGACCTCCATCACCCTCCTCATTCCTTCCAGGACAAACCGAGGCCTGGCTGTGATAGACTGGGAGGAATGGCGCCCCCTATGGGACAGAAATTGGGGAACCAAAAGAATCTACCAGACTTTGTCAGTGGCCCATGTAATGCAGGCTAATCTCTCCCTCCCAGTACAACAGGCCACAGTAAAAGCCAAACAGCAGTTTCAGGTCAGAGCGCTTTGCTTGAGGCTTAATGATAAATTATATACAATACAGAGCTCAGAGCACCTATTAATTATTCATGCCATCATTCCTTCACTCCTGGCTTCCTTCCTCTTAGGAGGCAGCAAGGAATCTTATGTCAGGGATGTTGGCCTTGGGCAGAGCTATGAGACCCAACTATCTTTGGGGCTTCTACTTGTTCCCCAACTGCTATAATTATGGCTGGAAGGACCAGCACTACACAGGCCAGTGCTCCAAGGAGGTGAGGAGGCAAAATGATGAGCTGCTCTGGCTATGGGAGTCAAGCACAGCCCTTTACCCCTCTGTTTACTTGCAGGTTGGTGATTCTCCTATATGGATGACATACTTCTAATATTATTATTTTAAGCGGTAATTTTCCCTGAATCTGTTTCAGACCTCTCTAGCAGACAATCCAAAAGCTGCTCTGATGGTGAGAAACCGCGTCCAGGAGGCTTTGAGGGTGTCTACCCTTCCTGGATGGAGTGCTACTGCACCCGTGTTCGTTTACATGCGTCCTGTTTTTGTTGATGACAACAAACGCTTCCTCAGCCAGGTAACAAAGACTATTTAAATGTGGATTTGTTTAACACTTTATTCATAGGCACATTACGTAATAGTCTGCAGCATGACTTTCTGACCTGGTTGGGATGTTCTTGGGAGGCATTTGCAAATGACAAGCACTAAGCATACAAATTAAATGACTTTGCAGCTTAAACAGATTGCATCTTTTCCAGTAACTCATTAGAGAGTAAATGCAAGCACACTTGACTAGATTACATCTTACATCTTAGGTTACTTTATACATCCCTAGAGTGGAGTGTTTCCAGCCAGGAGGTCCAGTTTTAAGGGGAGTTCAGTTTCTTTGGTGTAACAACATCCTTCTCAGGTGGTAACCGCCACACGATGTTGTAATCCTTATCTTCTGTTCTCATTTGTGTGAGCATGCTGCAAAAAACCTCAACTCAAAACCATGATGCAATTCTTTGCAAACCTTTTTAGTTTAAAAAGTGCAGAGAAAGCAAAAATTCTCCAGCATTTTTCACCAACACTGGGGCGCTCAACAGTTTGGGCATCATTTGCCGTATTTTTAATTTCATAATGTCCGAAATGCTTTCAATGATTGCAAGTATAGGCCAGTTTAGCACCTGGACTGCTTTGCTAACAATCAAGTACTATATAGAACACTAATTTGATAATGGTAATTTTCATACCAGTAAAATCTTTTTTAGGGAAGTTTAAGGACATCTCTGTAAACGGTAAACAGTAAAATTCAATGTGTTTTAAAACGTCTTTAAAAACTGAAAATGGAAAATTGCTTAACTTTGAAACAGCTCAACATTCATCAAATCTAATCTTACATTTTTAAATATTGGCTCAGTCTTTTTGCATGTGTAACGAACAATTAGTGAAGATGATTAACTATTTGCGTCCAGGGGGATCTGATCAGCACCGTCGGGGAGAGTGTGGCAGTGGGGGCATCTGGCGCTGTGCTATGGGGAGCCAGCAGTGACTATGATGACCAGGTAACATCACACCACAGGCCTCCATTGGACTGCTGAAAGATATAACAATGTATTGATGTCAGTCAGACGGAACAAGACAAAGACTTTAATTAGACGATACAGGAAGCGGTTTATCTCTTCAGCAACTGAAAATATCTGCTGAGTGATTGTGGTGGCTGGTTTAGCAACCACAATAGTTAATCCACAACAGCAAAGCCTAAATTAAGCAATGATGGTACATTTAACTGGATGTTTAAATTGCTCTGACAGAGACCTCAGCATGTAATTAATATTCTTGTAGTTACATATCTTAATTGCCTTCTATTACATATTACATGCTGTTAAATAACTTTATTACATGTCCTTAGTGTCTGCTATTCAGTGCATTAGGCTTTTTATAGCTGCAAGATATTTTTTGTTAATTCTGCCTGTTCTGCAGTTAATGAACTTCTTACTCCACACATTACAAACCTATCAAAACAATACTCTCAGTCAGGAATAGCTGGTTTTCTAATATGTAAATATGCTAGTTTGTTTTCTGTTGATTATATCAAAAGGTAATACCACTGATAGCTGCTTAGCTTATCACAAATATTAGATTTGTAACATTACAGATCTATCAAAATAGTGCTCTCACACAGGAACAACTGTACATTTTATAATATGTATGCTAGTTCAGCCCGTTCTCACTCCCGAGGTGTAACATGCCGACGTTTTGTCACGTCCCGCGGCGTTCCTGAGGAATGCGAAAGGAGACCTTCGGCATTCTTATGGTACGGGGCGGGTTATGGCTGAAATCCAGTGCAATGACGCTCCCGCGGTAATAGACGTTCCAGCCCTGTATTCCAGCCCTAAACCTAACCTTATCCCTAGCCCTAACCATACCAGGACTTTAATGATGTTAAATAGCGTGTTTCTAAGCGATTTGAAGAAAAAGAGCGAACATGTGTAGATTGAGTCCATACGGTTGTCATATTTCCTCATTTTTCTGAAGTCGTCATTTAGGAACGTGGTGGGTAGCCGAAAACGTAATATGTTGACGATTTGGCACCTAGCGTAAAATGTTATGCTTTGGGAATGAGAACGTGTTGGCTAGTTTGCTTGCTCTTGAATGTATAAAACAGTGACACTGCTGCTACAGTTAGCAGCTGCTTAGCTTAATTCTCTGCAGAAACAAACTTGCCAGATCTAGCCTTGTGAAATTTTTGCATTAAGTCAACATAAAGTAAGAAAATCAATAACATCCTATGCCTCATTAGAATTAATCTGTCCATGTTATTGAACCACTCCAATAAACGTCAACCGATATAGTGTCTTCAGTCTGGTCTTAACAAAACTGACCTAACACCACCGCCACCGTAGCCCACTAATGTCATTTAGTAATCATTAAGGCTAGCTAAGCAAAGCTAAGCTAGCTTTAGTCTTGTTTTTAAGGAATAGGTATGCAAGTGGTATTGATCAGTTTTTTTTTTTGTTTTGTTTTTCCACATGGACATGTTAATACAATTCATGGTCACTGAATTATTGTGATGCTGTCCTCTGTTTTAGGCGACACAATTGTGGTCAGAAGTTTAAGGTACATACACACATCATGGGCATGAATATCATTGTAATTTTGAACTTTTAATGGTCTCTCTGAACTGTTCTTTTTCCACGGTGGAAAGGGAGAACAGCATACATGTTCAGTGATGTTAAAAAACAAGAATTTGCGTACACAAGTTTACATTTATTTTGCCTAAAAGCTGGACCAGGAAACCATCTAATTTAAATAAATTCTACCAATAATGCAAAGAAGAGTGGTCAAATAACCAGCAAGAATTATACCAGAAGCTTGTTGATCGCTACTGAAAGGATCTGGTTGAGGTGCAACTTGCTAAGGAATATTTTACCAAATATTCCTGGGGATGTATCTATTGTAGTCTGGAAAAAGAACAGTTGAAAGAAGTCATAAAAAGCCTGAACTTACTGTGACATTCATGCCCACGATGAGTGCATGTAAATTTGTGTCCACAACTATTGTGATCTTATTTATTCCTCTCTCTATTTCTCCTCTCCAGCTTTCTTGTGAAGCCCTCTCCTTCTACCTCACCTCTATCCTGAATCCTTACATCACCAATGTCACGACAGCTGCCCAGCTGTGCAGCGACTTCCTGTGCCGAGGAAATGGCCGCTGTGTCAGAAAAAACTACAAGTCCAGCCATTACCTCCACCTAAACCCTGAAAGTTTCAGGGTTGTGAATACTCAGAAACGCTACTTTGTTCTAGGAAGTCCAAGCTTGGCAGACCTGAAGTCTTTAAGCAGGAGATTTAACTGTCAGTGCTACAAAGGACTGAAATGCACTCCTAGGACATACAAAGAGCTTGCCAAGGCCCTGATGTTCAGTGTTAAGCGAGGGCAGTACCAGAACTCCCCCACTCTGAGAAAAGTTGGATTAGATGACACCGAGCAGGCCAGCATCGCTAAAGATAAAGTTAATAAGAACTTTAATGCAGCTGACAATTAAATTTGGTGGTTACAAACTAAATTGTTAGTCTGGTCTAGAACCCAGAATCAAACTTCTACTCGCATAGAAGATGAGCTTATAGTCAACGATTAACTCAATTAATATTTTTGAATAAATTTATATATATATATATATATATATATATATATATATATATATATATATATATATATATATATATATATATACATATACTGCTACCTTTTGCTGTGTCAGCAAAAAACGACTCAGTAAGCATAGGGCTACTTCATGTACTATGAATAAAACCACTGACAGAATCTATAAACTACAAGCACAATACCAAATCACAGATGTGTCACCTGCGCCTGACAATATTACAGCCAGTTGGTATTTGAATATGATTTGACTGCATATGCAAATGGGAAAAAAAGGAAAACTGCAGCAGTTTTTTATTTCTTTCTCTGCAATGACAAAGTACTGAATGAATGAAAACATTTTTCATTTTAAATTCTCAGTAATTTATTTAATTTATCTCAGCTCTTTTAAAAATGTGTCTGTGTATGCAAATGTATAGCGAATATAATTTGTGTGAGAAAAATAAACATGAATCAGCAGACGCACTGACCTTTATTCCAGTTTAGATCGTTGTCAGTTGCTTTTGATTGCTTGAGAGAAAAAGTCTGACAAGCAGTGGATTATTTAAGTCTGTTAATGACAAATGAGGAAAGTGCTGGAAACCTTCCTCAGAGAAAGTTGCCTGTACTTCTATGACAGCATTACACATAGCATCACAGAGTTGCTGTAGATTTATCATTCGATTGCATTCCAGAGGTGCTGTTGGATTGAAATACAGTGGCTGTGAAGGCCATTTCAGTACAACGAATTCACTGTCATGTTCAAGAAAACATTTTGAGATGATTTGAGCTTTGCGAAATAGCATGTTGTCCGGCTGGAAGAAGCCATCAAAAGATTGGTGGTCATAAAGGGTCTTTCTCGGCTCAAAAAAGCAGCAAGTACTTGGATCAGGATGCTTTTATATTGATTATGCCAGATTCTGAACTTACAATCAAATGTTGAAGCAGAAATCGAAGCTCATCAGAACAAGTAATGTTTTTCCAACCTTCTCTAATTTTGGCGAGTCCATGCAAAATGTAGCCTCAATTTCCCGTTCTTAGCTGAGGAGCGGTACAAAATGTGGTCTTCTGCTGCTGTAGCCCATCTTTAAGTTTGTTGACCGTTCAAGATGCTTTTCTGCATGGCTTGGTTGTATCAAGTGGTTATTTGAATTATTGTTGCCTTCCTATGAGCTCAAACCAGCCTTGCCATTTCCTCTGACCTCTGACATCAACAAGTCACTTTCACCCAGAGAATTGCCGCTAACAGGCACCAACAAACAACTTACATTCAAAGAGTCACTTAAATCATCTTTCTTCCCCATTCTAACGGTCAGTTTAAACTCTCTGTCACCATGTCTACTTGTCTGAATGTACTGAGCTGAATGTACTGAGCTGCTGCCACATTTGGATTAATGAGGACATAAACAGATATGTAATGTGGCGACTATTAGAGAAATATCAATTAATGGAATTTCCCGCTGGTCTAGTAAAGTTTTAAGGACCATATTATGTTTTATTATTCAGGTGTTGGAAAGGAAGTTGCCATAATAATCAAGCCAACTGTTCAGTTTCACTTCCTAGTATTAGATACCAAAAGATATGTTGAAAATGCATGTTCATTTTTATAAACAGCAGTCACAGATTACTTCTGATTGAACGTGTTAATGAGGCTTGGTGTATGTTGCTCCCATTGTGATTTACAGTAAATATTGTAGGTCACTGGTGTATTCACTCAGAGTCCTCTGGGTGGTGTGTGTGATGTCTAAATGTTCGTATTTGCTTATGTCACAATGATCTCCATGGTGTCGCGGAGAGAAAGAGAGGGAGTGAGAAAGTGAACACAACTATACAAAAAACCCCAGCATCACATAACTAAAATTTTAAATGAATTACATTGCTTTTTTGCAATTTTCTCTGTCTTATTTGATTTATATCAGTGCTAACTCAACCAGAAAGCAGTAATTACAGATAACACACATATTATCAGGTTGTGCCAGGAACTATTATCTTATGCACTAAAGAAAATGATTTGCAGCCATAAAACCAAGATTGCCTTGATTCTGTTGCTTGTGTGCCTGGACCTGCTGAGATTTGTTCAAGCTTGTGGTATGGAAAACTACAAGTATTTCCTATAGTCACCAGTGTCTGGCAGACCTTTTTTGTTCCTAGCCTTTTAGCAAAATGCAAACACCAAGTCAGTAAATAAAAAGAAACCGCACCCTCCACAGGGCAAAACCTCTGTATAAGGGTTTGATTTACCCTTTCACTTTACGCCTGGACTGCTTTTAACTTTTAACCTTGACTCTTCAACAGGAAGTAAATATTTCCATAGATATGGTGTAATTGCGTCTCTGCTGAATAATGCAAATGTTAAAGAAATGAAAGAATACCAGCTGCGTCACAGGAAAATTGTATTTTTTATTTAAAATTCTAAGTCATACAGTACATGCCATTGCAAGTTAGAGATATTTTTTTTTAGTTATTGTGCAATTTCTTTCAAACGTTCTTTTTTTAAATAGCTTTTTAAAAGTAGTTTGGTCATTTTTTTAAAATCTTCAAAAAGTGCACAGCCAAACACGAAAGTTAAGTATGATTAAAATACAGTTATTCTGTCATGGAAAAAAACTGTAAGTTTAAGAACACCAGTGTAGCTGCCAGGTTAAACAAGGAAAAAAAATCAGTAGCCAAAGTATTAGGCTGAGTAGGGTTCAGTTCAGCTCTCAGTGCTAATCATATCAGTAGAATTTCACAGGGCTTTAAAACTAAAAAAACAATTAATATGAATATTTGTTAATAAACAAAATAATAAAATAAAGCACCTGTGCAAAGTATGCTTCTAAATTTGTATAGACAAAAAATAATTTGTCACCTAAATAATCAATCAATCCCAGAGAAGATCATCGTGTTTCTAATTCTAAGTGCAAAGTGACTGATTCTAATATTTTAATGGTGTTCAAAAAGGTCACAGAGCAGAATCATTTCTTTGCAGTTCATTGAAGCATATTACTTCTAATGAGGCAGCATAGGAGGTTAATATCTAGAGAATATAGATGATACAGGTGATACATATAGGTGACTGGCTGCTACACTATGTTGGTGAACCGGTATGGCCTATATTATATCAATATTATATTAACCCATATATCACTAAGTCACATATTTTGTATATCAATAAAAAAATCAATATTGACATTGGCCCCCAAAATCCATTTTCAGCCAGGCACTTCCTTTCGACCCACAATTGTAGCACTTGCAGATAAAAAGCTGAGTTTTTTTGTGTCACTTGGACTCAGTTTGCACAGGAAGGCACTCGAGCAAATCAGTGTTTGGGTCATGAAAAAGAAACTGCAACATCATGTCTCCTCATAATCATTTAGCTACGGATTCCTCTGCTACATATACCACTGGGTTTATATAAACTCTAAGAATTGCCATGCATTGCTCTGTGATCATGTTAACAAGCTGAGTGGATGCAGTTTGTTTTGAAATGTTAAGGAGTCGAATAAAAAGGTGAAAAATTAACAGATGACTCTGTCTTAAAAATACTGACTTTGGAATATTAGTTGATACATGTGAGTTAGTGAATAAAAGAAAGCTTTACTGGTATTTTAGCATGCAGATAGGACACGTAAAGCATGCTGATGTATAGGTGAATAACGTAAGCGATCAAATCCAAAACACATCTGCCATATGTGAAGAACGGGAAATCAGTCACTGCAATCCATACAAAACTGAATCTTCACACTTTCAAAGTCATGAGGACATGTAAAAGTTGTTCATGTTACAACTGTATTTTCCACTAAATGGGTAAAAACGGCAGTAATTGAATTTAAACAGTTGGGGTCCAAAGTTTTGAATTCCTTGCTGTACCCTAAAATATCAGGCAGAGCAGAATAAAAGCACAGGTAACGAGGGTTAGGGTCGACTCGTAACTTCCAGAAGTTATTACCTCCACAGAAAATCTTGTTGAACACACCCATCTTCACCTGCCTGAAGAAAATGAAACGTATTAAAAAATCTGATAGTATTTTATAATACAGAGCGCAGCTAAGAGAGCAATAACTCTAGAATTAGAATTGGTATGAAAATGTATTTTATCTGAAATGACAATGTTATTATATTAATCTAGATATAATTAGTAGTAGACTCATTAGAATTAGGGGTAATAATTCAAGCTTTTACAGGGAAGAAGAAATAATTATACTGTATATAATTTTAGGTACTGCATGAATGATAGTGGTAAACCCACAAATGATAATTATTTACCTATAAGTACTTAGCAGTAGATAAACTAGAATTAGAGCTAAAAAGTCAAGTTTTTACAGGAAAGCAGAAATAATTATAATTTTAAGTAGTCTATTATGTCCAGGTATTTTCTTTTTCTCTGAGTTTAACCATCCTGTACTGTAAATATGCTGTACTTTTTGCATTTTTTCCTGGATTATATTCAATTTTCCATTTATATTACCTATAAAAGTACCTTTCCCACTTAGAAGAAAAAACTAAAAGTTGCACAGGTGGCCCATGTGATCTTTTAACAATAGAGTAATCGGGCTGGTGTTTACTTTTCCTTGGAGTCCAACCTAGAAACAAAATTTCAATACTATCACACTAGTATCAATCCAACACCAATACTAGCTTCGGTATTAAATCTAACAGTATTTGGATTGATCCGCCCACTTATACTCTGAGGCACACCAATGCAATTCACAATGTCAATATAAAAAGTAGAGCATAAATATAGAATAAAATTTGGATCTTTTTTTGTTCACTAAAATAGATGGAAATAATACACTACTTAAAATGATTGATTTCTATCTCATTTCCTGTAAAATACCCAGATGTCGTGCACTACTTAAATTACAAATGCAGTACTTAAGAGCATTTTTCTGCTTTCCTGTAAAAAAAAAAGTTGAATTATTACCCTCTTATTCAAGTTTGTCTACATGTAAATTCCATTTAAGTCTATTACACCCTTGATCGTGGACTGTATTATAAAGTGCT